CCACTGATAAGATAGATTGCAGGCATTGCGTTTTTTGAGACGTAGGTGTGTTGACGAAGAGAGTTTGCGTGTATATCGGTGGTGGTGTTTGTGCGATGATACTTGTACAGTTTCTTCGGTTGTGGCTATCGTCGAAAATTGTGAGATCTTTCTTTCCTTGGGTAAAAAAAAAAACAGAAAAACAAATACAGTTCTCGTACGAGGTTGGAACGCAAATGTGTGGACAAAATGCGTAATAGGTTATGAGTACAATAAGACGCGCCAGTTTTTAGCAGTGAGCCCCTGTCTTTGCTTGCTTGTTATTGCTAGCAAAGGCCCAATCAGATTTAGAGAATCCATGGGCTGGAAAAGGCTTTCTTTCCTCTTTCCAACGATGTGCACATTGCAGGGTGTTTGCTTTCGAAAACCTATTCGGGCTTGTTGATTTCTCTGCGCACCGAAATTTCCGAAAAACTCATTAAATCAACCTCATCATAGGGACCTGTCACCCCCCTTAGACTGAGCACTAAACAACACTCTCCTGTCCACACACCCACAGGAATAACTTCATTATAACAAGGGCAAGGGGTCCGTGAAGTAGCGGATCGATCGAACCAGTGGTTTACAAGAAACAGCAGTACTAAGCTACAGTCGAAAATCAACGCGAAAACAGCAACGACGAACTCCACAGTGTAACTAAAACGAATCGACCTTCCCCCCCTTAACAAAGACAACCAGTGACCGTAACCTCCTTAATACATCAAAGGAGACTTGATCCGGAAGTATCGTTGCAATCGACCGAGTATTTTGAAAGAAAAAGCAGTTTTTGCTGTATTTTGGTGGGTGTATTTTGGCTGCAAAATGAACAACAACACCAAGGGGGCCCCTGGAGGGGAAGGAACACTACAACCCCAACGCGAATCGGCACCAACACTATGCAAATTGATGGCAAGGACATTGGAGAGGATGGGGTTCATTGGGGGGGGTACTAGTGCAAGCACCACCAGCAGAAACAAAAAGCAGCAGGAAGATCGCCACCAGCAGAAAGAAAAAGCAGCAGCAACAACAACAGCAAATATTCCTGTTGGTGCTGTACCAAATGGACATGTTGTTGTGGTATGCAGGCGTACACGAATCGCAGCAAGGGCCTTGGTTATGGCTAAGGAAGAAGGTGAGGATTGCACTACCAAGAGTGCAATGCTATTTGCAAAGTTCAGTGAATCAGAATGCCAAAGCAAAGCTCTTCGCAGAAGAGTGATGAGGTTCAGGGATAAGCTGGAGCTTGAAAAAGCAGTTGCTGGTGTCCCCTTATCAACCATTGAATATGCTTTACCACCAGACCCCCTATCTGGCCTCACTGGAAGTGTTGGGGTCAGTACCTGTGCTGCTCCTCCTCCTGCTGGTACCTCCAGCAGGAGTTCCAGCAGTAATAGCAAGGACGGTGATAACGACGGTGACAACACGAATGCAACCAGTACTGCTGGCGACAGTTCTGTTCACACCAACGGTTCCGCAAAGAAGAAGCGGAAGCCTGCACGAAGTGCGCAGTATCTTCATGCGGAGAAGCTTGAGAAGCTCAATGAAAATAAACTAAAAAATACCGCTTACCTTTCCGTTGCTAAAAAAATCAAACA